ACACCTAATTAGTCGACTTTTACGACATGCGGGGGGGGTGGGGCGCATGGGTCTACCCCCACCCACAATAGGTCAGCAGAACCCATACAGGGATCCGGATCCGTTCAATTGCAGTGGCTGCTTTAACCCATCCTTTTCTGTATTTCGCCCACTTTAATTCATTGAAACTCAAAAGATGGTAGTAGCAGTAGTACACTCTACCCCATTAGGACATCACACAAGCGATAAACACCCGATAATACAATGTGCCACCATGTGGATGAGGATCACCCGTAGAGAGGTCCCAGAAACCGCAATCAACCACTAGACCATATTTATGGCCGGGCTATATTGCGGCCCCCGGCAAGAGCCAGGGTGGAGCTTCAAAAGAACGAAAAATTGCATCTCACAAGAGGATGACTAGAATAATCAAAAGATGGTCGCTCTCAAGTACACAAACTCTGAGAACGTGTTAATAAATCTTTGGTACTCAAAGGAGTTTTTTTTTTTTTTTTTTCAAGGTTTTAACGAAGGTAGATGATGGATTCCTGGCTTTGTCTATCAATGCCAGGTGCCTTCCGACAGGAAGAAAGCAAATTAGCAGACTATATTACTTTACCGCAGACAGGCGCGAGCGCACCTGTTGTTACCTGTACGTCAGTCTATGCGAAAATCTGCTCCATCAATTATTGAACCGTTTCTGGGTAAGCGTGTTTAACGTTTGTCTTGTGTGTATGCGCGCGTTTGTGCCTGAATACATGTGCTTTGTGTGTTTACTGTGTACATGTTTGTTGTGTGGTTGTACAAATGCGAATGCGCGTTTGTATACCTGTTTTTAAAATGAAAAGTTATATATGTTATCACAGTCGACGTTGGTACACAGATATTCCCATGGCTTTTCTGTCCCTAGCGGATCGCAGTACGGGCAACTTTTTTCAGCACCACTGTAATAGACACAACGTGGTGAGTTTCTTAAACCCTTCATGCTGAGTCGGTGTCTGTGATTTAGACGTTGCGAACGTGCTCCGTAATGCTGGATTGCCAGGCTCGATCCCAGCTGGAGGCAATTTGGCAGCAGAATACCTTGCGTTAGTTTCAATAGTGGTATCGAGAGCCGACCGTTTAGTAGCAATGGCAAACTAGAACGTAAATAAGCCTAGAAAAACCACAATAGCCACACACAAAAATGCTGGGGTTGGTTCTGCATCGCCCTGAAAAAGTACACGCAACCAACTTTTATGTGGCAGAGACTTTTTATGGTGAGTACCTGTTACCTTATTTGTTTTTCCTTAAAAAAAAACTACAGGTTTGACCATGCTTGCTCAGTCCTCCAATGTAGCAGCCACTCCAGCTCCAGTGTACTTCTACTGACTACTACCATGTAAAGTTGGTTACAGTGTCTCATGTTTTCATCCCGAAGACGACAGACCTGCTTCGTGAAGCTTTACTCCCAGGTCACACAATCGTGTTAGCGTCAGTGATGCGTCATTATTTCCCTAGTCCATACAACTTTGATAATGTAAGTTCCGCACATGATTCTTCCCCCAATCCATTGCTACATTACTTGCCATCGGGTCGGCTCTTTAGTTGTCTTTTACTCCTGTATTTATTTATTCAAAGGACCTTTTTTCCACGCCTTTAGGTCAGCACCACGCCGGCCGCCTCTACTTCCCGGGACTGCACCCGGTACTTTCTCAAGGCTGGGTCGACCTGGGAGCCAAGGTCATTTTTGAGAAAAGACCGGCTCCGCAAGGGAGCAAACCCACGACCTTCCGATCCATAGCGATCGTCTAGCCGCTCCGGCACGGCGACTCCCCTTTACTCCTGCATACAACTGAACAGCAGGTTGTAACCAATGTATAACATTTCAGAAACCGACAAGGCTAGCGCGGCAAACAAATGCCCGATGAAGTCGGATATGTCGACCAAAAGGCGGAAATATCGCAGCTATGGTGTAAACAGGCACAACGCAATTATGTCCCATGGACGAACGAAATCACAGAACGAGTCATGAGATTTGCGGTGTTCTGTTGCTTTCCTTGTTCAAATGTGATGTGCTAGCTAAAAACAAGAACACGAAGAGAACATCAAGAATGTGTGTTATCTTGAAGCCTTTTCAACTTTAAAAAAAAAACATCTAGAAAAGTTAGAGAATGGTGTGGACTATTGATGGAAGAATAATAAATAATATGAGACATGCTGCCGACACAGTGTTACTAGCAGACAGCGAGCAGGAGTTCGCCTGTAAAAACTTTCCGTCCTTTTCACAATGAAATGTTTCGTTATTTAAAGCCCTAATCTGGCTCTCGCCAGGGGCCGCAATATAGCCTGGCCATAAGTATAGCCTTAAGGCTGAACGCGGTTTCTTGGACCTCTCCACGGTGATCCTCACCCACATGGTGGCACTTTGTGTCATCGGGTGTTTATCGCTTGTGTGATGTCCTGGTGGGGTAGAATGACTTTAGTCAGCAGGAATTACAAGAGATAGTATTTCAAGTCAACATGTGAAGTGTAGAGTGTGTTTTACAGATTGATATTCGAAAAGCAAAAACTTTGATAATTGACAACGGAAAAAACGATCAAAGTAAACATCACAGTAAACGGAGATATATTAGAACAAGTAAAGAGTTTGTGTGTGTGTGTGTGTGTGTGTGTGTGTGTGTGTGGCTAGGACACGTAACAACAGCGGATGGCAGATGTAAAACATAAATCAAATAGAGCATAGGAATGCTAAAACTTTTTTTTTAATAAGATGCGAAAATGATTGACAGATCATCATCATCATCATGTAGCAGGTCCCTGGCAGAACGTCGCTCTCATCACGGTCTGCCTGAAAGAAACTGGGTCTCTCGCCAGCCCTCCCGCCTCATGCATTTTCATACTTTAGGAGACACTTATATCATGTGCCCATCTTCGTGTTGGCCGGCCCCTGCTCCTTCTTCCTGGTACCATGCCTCCTGTTATATTTTTTACAATCCGTCGTAGTGCTTATTATGACCAAAATATTTCAGTTTCCCAGACAGGATGCTGTTTATTAGCCAATCTTCCTTGATGTTCAGATCTTTCAAGATGTCAGTATTTCTCCTCTTTTTAGTCCAAGATATTTTGAGAATCTTCCATGATGAGTTTCTGGGCTAGTAATGTGGTAGTTTCCCGTTGCTTTCCACATCCACATGGCTTTAGACTACCTCCTCAGCCTTCAGCAACCTTTTCGATTGCTAGGGCAAGTGTGTGCCCTGCTCTGTGATGCTCCTGCTAACAGCAGAGAGCACCCCAGAGGTGTCCACTTATCCGCTGCGTTGGCCACACATTGACAGCTAGAGATATTTAAAAAAAAAAAAACTAAAACGAGAATTGTCAAACGTTATTGCACTTGGCCCTGATGTATGGACAATGAACAAACAACTAGAATATCAAACTGAGTCTCTGGAAATGGGGATATACAGAAGAATAGGTCACATTTTATGCAAACAAAAACAAACAAATACAAAGGTTCTGGAAAGACTGCGAATAAACTAAGAATTATTGAAATTTAAAAAAAGAGAGGCAACTGAAATATGTTGACCAAATTAAAAGGCATAATACGCTTTTAAAAACCATACTGGAGTGATAGGTGTAGGGCTAGAGGTAGACTATGTTATAAGTGGGAGGACAACATGAAGAGATGGACGAACAGCAGTCTTGGATAGTGTACAACCCAACCAAGACAAGAAACAGAACATGCTGGAGATCCACTGTAGTCAACTTTTATGTGAAGACGCACCTGATTGGTTGAAGGCAGAAGAATGGTCTCGTCATCATCTGTTTCCACTTTAAGCGTTAAGCGTCGTGGGGAGGAATAGTTTATGATCTACTTTCTGACGGATAGCAATGACTGTTGTCATTATGTGTCGTTGTAGAAAGTCTTTAATGTCATCAATCCATATTCTCCTAGGGCAACATGGTTTGCCCACTTAGAGAGAATGCCTTGTGACACCATACCATACAAAGCATACATGGAAAGAGAAGAAGGACGTAGAGCACGAGGTAGACCAAGAACAATATGGAAGGATAACATCAGAGAAACTCTACAACAGCACGATGTGCCTATGGTCGAGGCAGCCAGAAGAGCTAAAAACAGAACCTTATATCTCCCTCGACACCCACAGCGGTAAAAGAAGAAGGGAAGAAGAAGAAGAAGAAGAAGAAGAAGAAGAAGAAGAAGAAGAAGAAGAAGAAGAAGAAGAAGAAGAAGAAGAAGAAGACTTTTGTGCCATGATGTTTATCGGTTGTTTAAACCTTAAACAACCGTATCAACTGGTATATAAGTACACTGGATCGTTTGGCATCTTGTTTATATTTCCCGATCTTGTTTGCCGTCCTCTAAAAAGATATTTCCTAGATAGTAAATTTTTTAGCTTGCTTCAACCCTAAATCTTGGGATCAAGGAACTCTACTGGCCCGCATTACTTCAGTTTTAGTAGTATTTACTTTCAAATTATATCTTCTGCTTACAAGATTATGCAGTAATGCAAAATACTGGATTCACTGTTGGTGATCCTGTCTGCAAAGACACGGGGACGACACACACATACACACCACACCACACACACTAACACTATTTTTCTTCTTTCTTCTTCGCGTTCACAACTGTGAACTCCAACGGAAAGTTCTGGTTGCTCGACCACTTCTGGACTTTGGTCTTATTCTAGAACTTGAGTTGTGCATGCACATCTGTTATACAGATTTGACTTATTTGTATGCAGACTGTTAGTAACTTCAATCAGGTGAATGCACTTCGTCTTTGAAGGATACACCCTAATCAGTTGACTTTTACCACATGCTTGTGAGAAAAAGGGGTAGCAGTGTGTCTGTTCTTTTTTACCCCCAAAATTGAGGCATCGAATCCACGGGGAAAACTAAGGAGAAAGAAACAGATAAAGGCAATTTTGCATTTGGTTCGAAAACTGCCACCAATGAATCAAATGATGCGGCACACACCGAAACGTCACTCGGATACAAAGACACGACAGGAGCCTTACCGTCCAGCTGAATGTTGGGCCCTGGCACTAGCCACGACTGACCTGTGGAAAGGACATACAAGAATCTCAGTAACCACTAGGGTAATTTATATGTGATGTCAGTAACCACCCAGGTAATTTACATCTGATGTCAATAACCACCCAGGTAATTTACATGTGTTGTCAGTAACCATCAGGGTAATTTACATCTGATGTCAGTAACGAACGAAGTTAATTTACATCTATTGTCAGTAAAGAATAAAGGCAATTTACATCTGTTGTCAGTAACGAACAAAGGCAATTTACATCAGCTGTCAGTAATGAACGAATGTAATATATATATATACATTTATATATGTCAGTAATGAGAAGAGGCAATTTACCTCTGGTGTCAGTAATGCAGATAGGTAATGTGCATCTGGTATCAATAGCAAACGAAGGTAATTTACAGCTGGTTCCAGTGACATTCATGCAGTTTTCATCTACTCTCAGCGACATACATAGACGGTCTAACACGTGTGGTTAATGACATGTAATTCTCACCTGCTGTTTTGTCACAACTTGTCATTCAGTCATTCAAGGATTCAGCTTTATTACTGTGCTTACTTCGTGGTGTCAGTTCCATCCAGGAGAGTCCTATGACCAGGATGTCCCGTGACTAGGGTACGCGCAGGATGTCCCGTGACTAGGGTACGCGCAGGATGTCCCGTGACTAGGGTACGCGCAGGATGTTCCACAAGCTAGTGTCTGTTCAAGATATCCCACAGACTAGTGTCTATCCCCGGTGTCAGATAGACTGGTGTCTATCCATGGTGTTCAACAGACTAGTGTCTATCCATGGTGTCCAACAAACTAGTGTCTTTCCACTGTGTCCAACAGACTAGTATCTATCCATGGTGTCCAACAGACTAGTGTCTATCCACTGTGTCCAACAGACTAGTGTCTATCCACGGTGTCCAACAGACTAGTGTCTATCCACTGTGTCCAACAGACTAGTGTCTATCCATGGTGTCCAACAGACTAGTGTCTATCCACTGTGTCCAACAGACTAGTGTCTATCCATGGTGTCCAACAGATTAGTGTCTATCCATGGTGTCCAACAGACTAGTGTCTATCTAGGGTGTCCAACGGGCTAGTGTCTATCCATAGTGTTCAACAGACTAGTGTCTATCCATAGTGTTCAACAGACTAGTGTCTATCCATGGTGTCCAACAGACTAGTGTCTAACCATAGTGTTCAACAGACTAGTGTCTATCCATAGTGTTTAACAGACTAGTGTATATCCATAGTGTTCAACAGACTAGTGTCTATCCATAGTGTTCAACAGACTAGTGTCTATCCATAGTGTTCAACAGACTAGTGTCTATCCATAGTGTTCAACAGACTAGTGTCTATCCATAGTGTTCAACAGACTGTCTATCCATGGTGTCCAAAAGACTAGTGTCTATCCATGGTGTCCAACAGACTAGTGTCTATCCATAGTGTTCAACAGACTAGTGTCTTTCCATAGTGTTCAACAGACTAGTGTCTATCCATAGTGTTCAACAGGCTAGTGTCTATCCATAGTGTTCAACAGACTAGTGTCTATCCATAGTGTTCAACAGACTAGTGTCTATCCATAGTGTTCAACAGACTAGTGTCTATCCATAGTGTTCAACAGACTAGTGTCTATCTAGGGTGTCCAACGGGCTAGTGTCTATCCACTGTGTCCAACAGACTAATGTCTATCCATGGTGTCCAACAGATTAGTGTCTATCCATGGTGTCCAACAGACTAGTGTCTATCTAGGGTGTCCAACGGCCTAGTGTCTATCCATAGTGTTCAACAGACTAGTGTCTATTCATAGTGTTTAACAGACTAGTGTATATCCATAGTGTTCAACAGACTAGTGTCTATCCATAGTGTTCAACAGACTAGTGTCTAACCATAGTGTTTAACAGACTAGTGTCTATCCATAGTGTTCAACAGACTAGTGTCTAACCATAGTGTTTAACAGACTAGTGTCTATCCATAGTGTTCAACAGACTAGTGTCTAACCATAGTGTTTAACAGACTAGTGTCTATCCATAGTGTTCAACAGACTAGTGTCTATCCATAGTGTTCAACAGACTAGTGTCTATCCATAGTGTTCAACAGACTAGTGTCTATCCATAGTGTTCAACAGACTAGTGTCTATCCATAGTGTTCAACAGACTAGTGTCTATCCATAGTGTTTAACAGACTAGTGTCTATCCATAGTGTTCAACAGACTAGTGTCTCGTGGACTTGTGCCTGCCTAGGATGTCACACAGACTAGCGTCTGCATCAACAATAATAATATGAACCACCCCTATCACCCTACTCGCCCACCCCACCCCAACTTCTTCCGCCCACAGAATAAGGGTGTTTAATAATCAGCCCTGATATCGGACGTTATCACTATGTTCTAGCCTATGCAGGACACGAAACACACCAGGGAAGGTTACTCTATGTGTTTCAACTCACCAAACTGAAGACGTCTCAGAGGCTCCCGAATCCAGTCAAAATCTGCAAATACAAGATTCAGTACTTAGTTATAGAAGATTCAGTACTTAGTTATAGAAGATTCAGTGCTTAGTTATAGAAGATTCAGTGCTTAGTTATAGAAGATTCACTACTTAGCTATAGGAGATTTAATATTCAGCTATACAAGATTCAGTGCTTAGTTATAGAAGATTCAGTGCTTAGTTATAGAAGATTTACTACTTAGCTATAGGAGATTTAATATTCAGCTATGCAAGATTCAATGCTTAGTTATAGAAGATTCAGTGCTTAGTTATAGAAGATTCAGTGCTTAGTTATAGAAGATTCAGTACTTAGTTATAGAAGATTCAGTGCTTAGTTATAGAAGATTCAGTGCTTAGTTATAAAAGATTCAGTACTTAGTTATAGATGACTTAATATTCAGCTATACAAGATTCACTACTTAGCTATAGAAGATTTAATATTCAAATATTCAAGATTCACTACTTAGCTATAGAAGATTTAATATTCAGCTATAGAAGATTCAGTGCTTAGTTATAGAAGATTCAGTGCTTAGTTATAGAAGATTCAGTGCTTAGTTATAGAAGATTCAGTGCTTAGTTATAGAAGATTCAGTGCTTAGTTATAGAAGATTCAGTGCTTAGTTATAGAAGATTCAGTGCTTAGTTATAGAAGATTCAGTGCTTAGTTATAGAAGATTCAGTGCTTAGTTTTAGATGACTTAATATTCAGCTAGGCAAGATTAAATGCTTAGCTATAAAAGATTTAATATTCAGCTATACAAGATTCAGTGCTTAGCTATAGAAGACTAAATTCAGCTAGGCAAGATTAAATGCTTAGCTATAGAAGATTTAATATTCAGCTATACAAGATTCAGTGCTTAGCTATAGAAGATTCAGTGCTTAGTTATAGAAGATTCAGTGCTTAGTTATAGAAGATTCAGTGCTTAGTTATAGAAGATTCAGTGCTTAGTTATAGAAGATTCAGTGCTTAGTTATAGAAGATTCAGTGCTTAGTTATAGAAGATTCAGTGCTTAGTTATAGAAGATTCAGTGCTTAGTTATAGAAGATTTAGTGCTTAGTTATAGAATATTCAGTGCTTAGTTATAGAAAATTCAGTGCTTAGTTTTAGATGACTTAATATTCAGCTAGGCAAGATTCAATGCTTAGCTATAGAAGATTTAATATTCAGCTATACAAGATTCAATGCTAAGCTATAGAAGATTCAATATTCAGCTATCCAATGCTTAGCTATGGAAAATTCAATATTAAGCTATACAAGATTCAATGCTCGGCTATAGAAGATTCAATATTCAGCTATTCAAGATTCAATGTCCAGCTATAGAAGATTTAAAATTCAGCTATGCAAAACCCAGTACTCAGATATACGAGATTCAGACACTCAGTCAGCCAACAGCATGACTATATCAGGCACTCAATCAGTCAACACAGATATATCAGACACTCGATCAGCATCCACTAAGATTGTCAGACTGCTGATTTATTGCAACTACTACTTCCGTCTTTGATTATATGCAATTCTAGTGGCGGTCTGTATTGGCTGACATTTCTGGCAGCTGTCTTACGAATTTGTTTGCTTTGTTGGGACTAAATTATGTTTCAGTGTGTTTTTCACAATAGGCAGTGATGTGCATTCTGTGTGGTTTCCCTGGCACATAATTGGAGCAATTAGTGGGGGGGGGGGGGGGGACTCGTTTTCCTCGAAACTGTAACTCAGATTGACTGTATTCGATACTGAGTCAGCACTCACTAAGACGATATCAGACATCCAATCATCACCTCCTAAAACTATATCAACACCCAGTTCTCTCCCACTAAGACTTATTCAAGAACCAATCATCTCCCACTAAGACTTTATCAGCAACCAATCATTTCTCTTTAAGACTTTATCAGCAACCAATCATCTCCCATCAAGACTATATCAACAACCAATCATCTTCCATTTCAAATACATACAGTACAACAAATTTAAGATTGGCCAATCAGCCATGTGTACCTACTTGTGGACTGGCACCTGAAACAACAGATCACATCCTTCAAGACTGTCCCAGATTCTACGCTTTCAGGCAAAACCTTTGGCCAAAAGAGACACTTGTGGAAGTCAAACTTTACGGGCCGCTTAGTGAATTACAAAAGACAGTGAAATTCATACTAGAGACAGCTTTGCAGATATAGACAATTTATTTCATGCGAACGAAAGAAGAAGAAGAAGAAATACATACAGGATGCACTTATGAGGGGGGGGGGGAAGGGGACTTAGATCAAGACTATAGGCGCAGACTGTTAGCAGCCTCGTCTAGCTAGCAGCAGTCTGAAAGTGGTCGACCTTTTCATTTTTTTTTTTTTTTTCTCAAAAGGGCTTGGACTTGGACTCAGATCAAGAGAGCCAATAGAACCTACTGGAACACTTCCCATCCAGAAGACAATCCTGAAAACCCAATCATCTCCTCGCACGAAAGAAACAGGCCATTATATTTAGACTACGTATATGAAGCTGAAATATTTTGGTCATATCAAGCGCCACGACAGATAGGAAAAAATTATAGCAGAGGGCATTGTACCTGGCAGGAAGGACAGGGGCCGACCGACACGAAGATGGGCACAGGATATAAGTGACTCCTTGAGTATGAGGCAACAGAGCTGGATAGAGACCGAGTTTCTATCAGGCAGACCGTGATAAGAGCGACGTTCTGCTAAGGACCTGCTACATGATGATTGGACACAACAGACTACGTAGCTGTATGAACAAGAAATTGAAAATTGGGAATTCGGAAATGTGTCCATACGGGACTATAGAATATTGAACATGTTGAGAAATCCCAGGTTTTGCTGGTTGGTATTCCAGTGGGAACCAAGCTGTATGGATCACTGGAAGACATGTGTCTTCACAGAAGCATGTGATCTTCTCAGTGAAGACCGCTAACAGGGGAAGCGAGGAGAAATAGAGACTACACCAAACAATCATCAACACCAACTTAGCTTAAATAAACTTACATGGCGGCGGCTTGACCTCAGGCAGACAGGTGTAAACACAACCATTGTAACAACATTTGAGTTGCTTGTCAGCGCACTCTCTATCCGAGCTGCACTGCTCCAGCTCGCACCCTCCCAGAGGAAGTCGTTTGGGGACGGGCGGACAGAGATCGGTTGTTGCCAGTTGGCGTCCATCAGCCTGTGGTTTTTCTTCGTCGTATTCAAACTCGTAGAAACTCTAGGAACAACACACGGTGGTTAGTCTGGCACACCATCATTTATAAACACAGTATTTGAAGACTAAAAGACAGTCATATATGAACACCTGGTTTGTTGACTGACATACTGTCATATAAGACCACAGAATTTGTAGATTCACACAGTGTCCTAGATAAACACCGAATTTGTAGACTGACACAATATCGCATGTGAACACATAATCTGTAGATTGACACACTATTACACATGAATGCATAATTTGTAGATTGATGCAAGATAATATATGAATAAATAATTTGTAGATTATTGCAATATAATATATGATTACATAATTTGTAGATTGACACAATATCATGTTTAAATACATAATTTGTAGATTTGACACAATATCATGCACAAATACATAATTTGTAGATTAACACAATTTCATATATGAATACATAATCTGTAGATTATTGCAATATAATATATGATTACATAATTCGTAGATTGATGCAACATGATATATGAATACATAATTTGTAGACTATTGCAATATAATATATGATTACATAATTTGTAGATTTGACACAATATCATGTTTAAATACAAAATTTGTAGATTTTTGCAATATAATATATGATTACATAATTTGTAGATTTGACACAATATCATATTTAAATACGTAATTTGTAGATTATTGCAATATAATATATTATTACATACTTTGTAGATTATTGCAATATCATATATGAATACATAATTTGTAGATTATTGCAATATAATATATGATTACATAACTTGTAGATCGATGCAACATAATATATGAATACATAATTTGTAGATTATTGCAATATAATATATGATTACATAATTTGTAAAATTGACACAATATTATGTACGAATACATAATTTGTAGATTAACACAATATCATATATGAATACATAATTTGTAGACTGACGCAATATAATATATGAATACATAATTAGTAAATTGATGCAATATCATGCATGAATGCATAATTTGTAGATTGACACAATATCATATATGAATAAAGAATTTGTAGATGATACACAAGGTTACAAATAATTTTTTTTTTTTTCTAAAATGACACAATATGAACCCATAATGTGCAGATAACATAGTGTCATCAGCAAACACACAGTGTTGCTGCGTCACACACCGTCACGCATGAGACAGAATGGACAGAAAAAGAAATCTGTGATGTGTGAATGTAAATGGGACAGAACTAGAACATGATATATGCACGTAGAATAGATATATTAAAACACAAACATTTGTAAGAAGTAAGTGAGTAAATTTTACCTTACCAGGACATCACACGGAGCGATAAATACCCGGTGACACAAAGTGCCACCATATGGATGAGGATCACCTGCGGAGAGGTCCTGGAAACCGCGTTCATCCGTTAGGTTATATTGCGGCCCCTAGCAAAAGCCAGTGTGGGGCTTCAAAATAACGAACAATTGCGTCTCTCATGGGGACGACCTTGGTTGATTTGTAATTACGAGGCGGACTGAACCTGGACCGGACAGCAGTAGAACCTGTGGTGTATCATCGTAGAATAGGATCCTTTGCCACACCTTCATGCGTGTTGGCCAAATAGTTCGTTAAAAAAAAAGTAAACGTCCCTTTTCAACACCTTTAGGCGTATAGGGCATATAGGGCTAGACTTATATTTATATAGACCAATCGGCACAAGATGGGTGCTTTAGTCAGCATCACGCCGGCCGCCTTTACTTCCCGGCTCTGCACCCAGTACCCACTCAAGGCTGGGTAGACCTAGGAGCCAAGGTCATTTTTGAAAGGAAAAAAGAAAGTCCGGTTCGTTCAGGACTCGAACCCACGACTTTCGCATCCGCACGCGAGCGTCTTGCCTCTACACCACGGAGGCTGCCATGAACGTAGAATAAACTGAAATGAAAACTGTGATGTATGTAAGTTGTATTGGTATTGATAACGACTTATACAGCACTTTTCGTCCTTTTTAGGATGAAATGTTTCCTTATTTGAAGCCCTACTCTGGCTCTTGTCAGGGGCCGCAATATAGCCTGGCCATAAATATGGTCTAATGGCTGAACACGGTTTCTGGGACCTCTCCACGGTGATCCTCATCCACATGGTGGCACATTGTGTCATCGGATGCTTATCGCTAGTGTGATGTCCTGATTGGGTAGAAAGTCAGTCAGTCAGTCAGATAAGGACTGCGATGTGTGAAGGTGTACATTATAACGAGCAGGTGTTATCAAGGTAATTCTGTATGTACAGACAAGGAATCTGCGGTTATGAAGTTTATATACAGATACGTCCGCTTTTCTTCGAGAAACACCGAGACTAACCCAGGGGCGCTGCCACAAAGAAACCACTGGAATATGAGCTCAGCGCGCTTGAAGTTCTCTAAGGGGTTAAATAGGATTAAGCTTTGTTTACATGCGCAATAATAATTATTATTTTTACTGATGTGTTATAAAAAAGAGAAGAAGGCGCTATAATTGACATATTGTGAGAAGAGGCGAACAGAGCATCAGCAAACAGGCGCAGTCCATCCGTCTATTAATGAAAACAAAACACACACAAATCCGCCTCGTTCTGTGATCAGTATTATTACTGTATTAGTATTCATTAATTGTTACTAATTGTTACAATTGTTAACTGTTATCAGTTCATTGCTACTGTATCAGTATTAATACTGTGAGCAGTATTGACTATAACTGTGGTCTGGTTTGTTTGTGCCGAATATGTTGGCTAATAAGAATGTTAATTTCACTAAAACTAGTGGCTTGGATTGGTACTCTAGTACCTAGTGAGGGTTGTTGGGGAAGGAACTGGTATGCACCATATATATTTATATATATACACGCGCACACACACACACATATATAGACATACATGTGCATTTATATATATATATATATATATATATATATATATATATATATATATATACACGCACACACACACACCTACACACATATATAGACATACATGTGCATTTATATATATATATATATATATATATATATATATATATATATATATATATACGCACACACACACACCTACACACATATATAGATATACATGTCCATTTATATATATACACCTTCACACATATATAGACATACATGTCCATTTATATATATATATATATATACACCTTCACACATATATAGACATACATGTCCATTTATATATATATATATATATATATATATATATATATATATATATATATATATATATATATATATACGCACACACACACACCTACACACATATATAGACATACATGTGTATTTATATATATATACACACACACACACACCTACACACATATATAGACATACATGTGTATTTATATAGATATATATACGCACACACACACACACCTACACGCATATATAGACATACATGTGCATTTATATATATATACACGCACACACACACCTACACACATATATAGACATGCATGTGCATTTATATATATATATATATACACGCACACACACACACACCTACACACATATATAGACATACATGTGCATTTATATATACATATATTGGAATCCATCCACGAAATTGAACTGATTGCATAGTACAGAAAGGAATGAAGGAATAGACGATGAGCCCTATGTGCTATATAATAGCAGTACGGGACATTAAACGAATGAATATTATTAAGTTTTGAATGGCAAATAAATATAATAATATATTTAAAAGTACGTCCTAGTTAACATAAGCTGGCTTTAAGACAAACAGAAGGTTAACATGAACTCAATTATGATCACAGTATTGTGTATTATTAATCATATATAGATATATATACACATAGAAATATATTTAACAGCATCATATCCCGAAAGTTGAAGTATTTGAGCCACATCAAACGTTATGGTGGCTTGGAAAAGAAGAAGGGTACAGTTTGTGGAAGGCGGGGCAGGGATCGACCACCACGAAGATGGCTACAGGATATTCAAGATGTATTGGGACTGAAAGCACATGGGGCTGGACAGCTAGCCAGGGACAGGGATACTTTCAGGCGTGCCGTGAAGAGAGCGACGTTCTAAAAAGGACAAGCTGACTGATCACACGTTTATATATATTCGTTACCGGTAAGCACAATTTTTTTTAACACTAGCGTTTGATTGTTAAAGTCCCTTGGCATTCGTATTAACGAAATATTATTATTGTACTTTGAATGTATATACAAATATATTAAAAAAGATCATTAATATCAGGTTGCGGGGGAGGGAGAGTGGAGATCCTTGGCGCGCTTGCAAACTTACGAGGGAACGCAGCCTGGGCCGCCTTCAAGCTTGATGAGGACTTCAGCTATAGAACGTCCTGAGACCCCTACTGATTTCAGTTACACCAGGTATTTCAGAAATCCTTATAATATACGAAAATATATTTGCGCTTTTTTTTTTTAAGTGTAAAAAAAAATTAGTAATGAAAAATGTATGTGTCTACAAAACCTTAGAACCGATACGGATAAATGACTGCCGTTCAAATCCACGAGCACCGCACAAAAAGCAATGCACAATCGGTGACACAAAGTGCCACCATTCGGATGAGAAACGCCCCGGCGCAAGTCCCAAAAACCCTGTTCAATCCCTAGGCTAAATTTAGGGCTCAAAACGACAGCCGTGGTAGGACTTTAACAAAATTGCGTCCCACATTGGGAGGTAGGTAAGTAAGAAAATTTTACCCCACCAATGAGGATCACCCGTGGAGAGGTCACTGTAACCCCGTTCAGCCGTTAGGCCATATTTAAGGCTCCGGCTAAAGACAGAGTGGGGTTTCATAATAACTAAAAATTGCATCCCATATGGGGACGACGCTTAGAATTAATATTTGGGAGGTGGATGAATACATAAATTATATTATTTATCCTCTTACACGCTCTATTAAAAAAGTGCATCTGTGAACAAAGCATATGAATATAGTTAGGCCCCTTTCGATTGTGAGGCTCCGAGCTGCAACATGGCTTATACCTAAAACCAGCAATTTGATCTTGATGTTGATAAAAAAAAAAAAAAACTTCGTACCTCTTTCAACCGGCTCCTAGATTGAGCATTGGTTATATCGTGGAAATCCAGCAATGGGCCCAGCCTGCTATAAATTATTGAAAATATGCCCCTCCCCCTCGTCAAGATGTTATGGCCCCCAACTTCCAGCGCCCCTGGACCAGCCCGCCAATCGCTAGCAGTCCCGCTTGTGGAGGCATGTAACCAGGTTCGGGTGCCAAGAAAAGGCCCCAGCCTCCCAGTGGGGAATGTTAATGAGACATGCAGGAGTTGTCGGCCCGCTAATATAATCAGATGACTTCCTATCTTCAGTTTTGATGTGCCTGGTTCAGCTCAGCATATTGATGTTTTTGATACACTACCTGTCTACCACACTGTGTGCGTGTGTGTGTATATTGGATATCTCTCTCTCTCTCTCAATATCAAAAGTGTGTTTGTATAAGCTTGGCAAGTTTATATCTTTGATACACTACCGTTCTACCACAACGCGTGGTGTATGTGAAAGAGAGGGAGAGAGAGAGAGAGAGAGAGCTGCTCTCATGTTTCTCTCGCTCGCTCTCTCTCTCTCTCTCTCTTTCTCTGCCCATCGATCCCCTTCTTTATAATCTATCACCTTCTCCAGGAGTCAGGGTGGTGTAGATGCTCGCCTGCGGGATCCGAAGCGTGTGGGTTTAAATCTGAACAGAGCCAGACAACTGGTGAGACTACTACTGGTGTGACTACTACTGTTGTGACTACTACTGGTGTGACTACTACTGTTGTGACTACTACTGGTGTGACTACTACTGGTGAGACTACTACTGTTGTGACTACTACTGGTGAGACTACTACTGGTGTGACTACTACTGTTGTGACTACTACTGGTGTGACTACTACTGGTGTGACTACTACTAGTGCGACTACTACTGTTGTGACTACTACTGGTGAGACTACTACTGGTGAGACTACTACTGTTGTGACTACTACTGGTGTGACTACTACTGGTGAGACTACTACTGGTGAGACTACTACTGGTGAGACTACTACTGTTGTGACTACTACTGGTGAGACTACTACTGGTGTGACTACTACTGGTGAGACTACCACTGTTGTGACTACTACTGGTGAGACTACTACTGGTGTGACTACTACTGTTGTGACTACTACTGGTGTGACTACTACTGGTGTGACTACTACTGGTGTGACTACTACTGGTGTGACTACTACTGGTGTGACTACTACTGGTGAGACTACTACTGGTGTGACTGCTACTGGTGTGACTACTACTGGTGTGACTACTACTGGTGTGACTACTACTGTTGTGACTACTACTGTTGCGACTACTACTGTTGTGACTACTACTGTTGCGACTACTACTGTTGTGACTACTACTGGTGTGACTACTACTGGTGTGACTACTACTGGTGTGACTACTACTGGTGTGACTACTACTGGTGTGACTACTACTGTTGTGACTACTACTGGTGTGACTACTACTGTTGTGAATACTACTGTTGTGACTACTACTGGTGTGACTACTACTGGTGTGACTACTACTGGTGCGACTACTACTGGTGCGACTACTACTGTTGTGACTACTACTGTTGTGACTACTACTGGTATAGCTACTACTGGTGTGACTACTACTGGTGTGACTACTACTGGTGTGACTACTACTGGTATGACTACTACCGTTGCTGCTACGTCTAAAGCTGTTACCGCTGCTGATATAACGACTAACAACAATAACTACTACTGCTACTACTATTACAACTACTATATTAGCAGCAAAAACTATTACTATCACTATTGCTACCACTACTATCACCACCACTAATGTCACCATCAATAATATCACCACCACTAATGTCACCATCAATAATATCACCACCACTAATGTCGCCATCAATAAAATCACCTCCACTAATCTCACCATCAATAATATCACCACCACTACTATCACCATCATTAATATCACCACACTACTATCACCATCATAAATATCACCACACTACTATCCCCATCATAAATATCACCACACTACTATCACCATCATAAATATCACCACACTACTATCACTATCATAAATATCACCACACTACTATCATCATCATAAATATCACCACACTACTATCTCTATCATAAATATCACAACACTACTATCATCATCATTAATATCATCACACTACTATCATCATCATTAATATAATCACACTACTATCATCATCATTAATATCATCACACTACTATCACCACCACTATTGCAACAACTACCACTACTAAAGTCGATAGTACAACTACCTTCATATCCGCTTGTCATCAAGTAAAACAATTAACTTGTATACCAACCTGATCGGCCAACCATCTTTCCTCCTGCCCACCAACTTCTGAAGTGTTGGATACTGGGGCACCCCAAGACCCAGGTAAGGTCAAAGTGCACAGGGTAATCGTCACCAGCACGCACTGTACGTGCAATCCCGGCTTGTGGTGACTGTGTCGTGACGTCATTATAGCATGGCAACAGGTAGTGACAAGAGACTGTCGGGAACCATCAGATAAACACTGGAAGACAAGCACAGAATTATACAGCAGACAGATACCCAAAGACAAGATCAGAATTATACAGCAGACAGATACCCAAAGACAAGATCAGAATTATACAGCAGACAGATACCCAAAGACAAGATCAGAATTATACAGCAGACAGATACCCAAAGACAAGATCAGAATTATACAGCAGACAGACACTGAAAGACACGAAGATAAATATACTAGAGACAAACACTGGAAAACAATAACAGAATTGTACTGCAGACAGACATATATAAGTTCCGACAATTCAGTAATGAGACTGATTTTATTATGGCTGACAAAAATGCCATATATGATTTACAGCATTGAATCCAAGGAGGCAATCTTCGTCTATGATCTTGCAACTTTTCATTGCCGCCCGTTATCAGACACACAAAAAACAAGCCGCCATTTTGTTAACCTAGTCAGAGGTGAATTGTTACGTAATCAGCATAGAGCACAAAAACTGACATTATATTCTGTTTAAAACTCAGAAAAAGCATAATTGAAACAGTTGAATTGATGCGACAAGTTTATGGGGATAATTGTTTATATCGTTCACAGATTTTCAGATAATATTTACGATTCAAAAGTGGTATGGAAATGATTACTAACGCAACTAGATCTGGACGGCCAATTTCTGTTCGTAATGAGGAACTCATTGCAAAATCTCGAGAACGGATACAAGAAGATCGTTGTTCGACTGTGAGGATAATGGTAGATGAATTTGGTGTTAATAAAGAGACTATTCGTAAAATTTTAGTGGAACGTTTGGGCAAGAAAAAGTTGCTTGCCGGTTTGTATTCAACACCTGGCAATGTGTTCCTTCTTCATGACAATGCACCGGTTCAGAGGGCGGTAGTTGGACAGGAATTTTTGGCCCAAAAACAAGTGTGTGTTCCCAACCATGCACCCTATTCTCCAGGATTTGTCCCCTTGTGACTATTTTATGTTCCCAAAATAAAATTTGCCATTGAAAGGACTCTTCTTGGACGATATTGATGACATCCAAAGGGACGTAACATCGACTTTAAGGGCCATAACAACAGAAGAACTACACAGGTCGTTCCAGTGTTTGTTAGATCGTGCCACTTGCTGTATCAATGCACAAGGGGCTTACTTTGAAAAAAAAATACAGGTTATCTTCAACTGTTGATTATTTTAATTTTTATTGAATTAGTCTCATCACTTAACTGTCGTACCTTGTACTGCAGACAGACACTGGAAGACAAGAACAAAAGCATACAGCAGACACTGGAAGACATGATCAGAATTTAACAGCAGACAGAGTACCCGTTACGTCTTTCTTAAGACGTAATTTTGTGTTATTTGAAGCCCCACTCTGGCTTTTGCCAGGGGCCGCAATATATGCAGGCCATCAGTATGGCCAATTGTCTGAACGCGGTTTCTGGGACCTCTCCACGGCGATCCGCATGGTGGCACTTTGTGTCATCGGGTGTTTGTCGCTTGTGTGATGTCCTAGTGGTGTAGAAAGTCACTCACTCACTCACTCACAGCAGACAGAGACCTCAACAGAAAATCAGAATTATGTAGTAACTCCTTCTGGCCCTGACACCGTACAGATATCTTGTTTGGACTTGCAGAAAATTCGCAAAGTTCCGATTAAGAACACACTCTTCTAAGGAGTTGTTCATGTTAATGTTTAAGTACAAAATTGAAAGTATTTTTCCTGACACTCTAGATTAGATTGTTAGGGCGTAGTAGATCTCTGCCAGTATCGTCATCACCACAATATATGATATGCCACCATCATCATCATGTTCTTTTAACAATTTGCGTAATGTTGACACGTGCCCTGAAATACAAGTGGCTGTATCTATACAATTTGAATGTCTCCCCCCCCCCCCCCCCCCCCCCCCCCCCCCCCATCCCAAAACCCTATCAGGGAAAAAATGTCTGCAAAATAACATCACCATCATCGACGATATGCAACCACTATCATTATCATGTTCTCTGAATGCAATGCCTTTATACAGCGGGGACACGTGCAATGAAATACACGTGTCTGTGCAAGGAGAATTTCTCTCTTTACGAGGAAAAAGGAATATATTTCCACAAAAATAATCATCCACATCCACGATGTGCCATCCACATCCCCGATGTGCCATCCACATCCCCGATGTGCCATCCACATTCCCGATGTGCCATCCACATCCCCGATGTGCCATCCACATCCCCGATGTGCCATACACATCCCCGATGTGCCATCCACCACTGACCAAAAAAAAGATGTATATAAGTATTTTTTTTTAAACAAACTTCATACTGTTTTAATTTGTTAGTGTTGTTTCCATCAGCATTATCATCAACAACCACCATCAACAAACATTATGAATGGTGCCCCGTTCTTCTCTATAGCCTAACCCCTTTTTCCTTTCTGTCTTCCTGTTTTTTTTTTTTTTTTTTTCTGTCAGATTTGTTTGTTTGGTAAAATATAATGCATTATTAAATAACACATGTGTCTAGCTGATATTGTTAGGTGATCATCTCCATCCGTACAGCTGGAATTGTTCGGCTCATTAAACTCATGTCACCAACATCAATTAATGCGGTCATGTCACCAACATCAATGAATGCGGTCATGTCACCAACATCAATGAATGCGGTCATGTCACCAACATCAATAAATGCGGTCATGTCACCAACATCAATAAATGCGGTAATGTCATTAACATCAATGAATGCGGTCATGTCACCAACATCAATAAATGCGGTCATGTCACCAACATCAATGAATGCGGTCATGTCACCAACATCAATGAATGCGGTCATGTCACCAACATCAATAAATGCGGTAATGTCATTAACATCAATGAATGCGGTCATGTCACCAACATCAATGAATGCGGTCATGTCACCAACATCAATAAATGCGGTAATGTCATTAACATCAATGAATGCGGTGCACCTTTCCTCCACCCCCTCCCGTGTCCTTCTCTGCCTCCCCCTTTCCTACATGAAAAGATATTTGGTGAAATGGAGTTTTTAATGATAACCATGCACTCCATCACCACTCTTTAATTGTATCTACCATTAATGTGCACATATACAATGTGAATGTATATACATACGACAACATCAATTGATCATTAGATTTTACCATCACCACTCTTTAATTGTATCTACCATTAATGTGCATATACAATGTGAATGTATATACATATACCAACATCAGTTGATCATCAGATTATACCATCACCACTCTTTAATTGTATCTACCATTAATGTGCACATATAAAATGTGAATGTTTATACATATGCCAACATCAGTAGATCATCAGATTTTACCATCACCACCAATAAAACCTACGAATAGCCCCTCCTCTCCTTACCTTTTCTGTCTCCCATTCTTCTACTCTCTTCCAAATGTTTGTGGAATGAAGGTATCACTCATGATCATTTTTTTCTTTTACCCCTTTATGGATTTTTCTTTTGTATATGTTGAGAGAAATGTTGTAAAGAATGTTTTTACACAAATAAACTTTTTTTTTTTTTAAAAAGCACAGACACTGGAAGACAAGATCATAATTATACAGTAGACAGACACTGGAAGACAATAACATAATTATACAATAGTGTTCTTAGGATCTTGAAGACACCATCATCATCATGCGGCAGGTCTTTTACTGAACGTCGCTCACATCACAGTCAGCGTGAGAAAAATGCCGTCCCTCGCAAGCTCTCCTGGCCCCTGTACCTTATTACCCAAGACGCTGCATATGTCCTGTGCCCACCTTCGAGTTGCCTCTCTTACCTGGTATCGCGGCCTCCATTATTGTTCCTTCAAAGCCAGAACGAAGTTTGATATCGCCAAATTATGTCAGTTTCAGAGAGAGAGGATGCTGTTTACAAGCCAATTTTCCTCGATGCCCATTTATTTTAGAATTTCATTGTTTTTTCTTCGTAGTTCCAGCTTCACGACAAACGAGTCACCTGATACAGTTAATGTAGTTTGTTCCCGGTGCCAGTGAAAATTCAACAGAATATCTATCACTGCCCCATGTGAAAACTAAACAGGCGTTAGTTCTACTGGCAAAGCCAACACGCGTTTAATTTATAAGACAGCCGCCAGAGATGCCATCGCCAACCACCCGACGCTAGCACTGCTGTTCGCAGTCGACGAAAGTAGTGAATACCAACAAATCCGCAATTTGTAAACGCATAACTGTCTAAGATACTGCCAGTTCCGTGGTAGTTTCTGAATATGTAGTTTATAACACAAACCATCTTAGGCAAAGTCGAAAAAGATTTACGTTAAATCCACAGCTCACAGTGTTGCACCATTTACTTAGTTCAGTAGCTGGGCGTCTGAACCATGTACTTGCAGTCCACATACAGGAAAAAACGCCATTGAACTCGGTGAGAAGAAAATTACAATTCAAACCTTTAATGGGTGCACGCCAGTGAACTTGGGGAGAAGCAAATTACAATTCAAACCTTTAAGGGGTGCACGCCAGTGAACTTGGGGAGAAGCAAATTACAATCCAAACCTTTAAGGGTTGCACGCCAGTGAACTTGGGGAGAAGCAAATTACAATTCAAACCTTTAAGGGGTGCACGCCAATCTGCCATGTTAGATTGGAAGTGTCTCTTTTTTTCTTGGTCCTTGATTTTTTTTTCAAGAATCTTTCTGCAGCACGTCAGCCCAAAACCCAATATTTTCTTCCTTAATATATTGCTTGAAAGTTGACAACTCATAATTGTGTGTTGTTGTTGTTAGGGAAGATGT